AAGAAGGGAAACACTATTTGTTCTTAGGCATTTACGCATAATATGCCTTTAATAACACACTATTTATGAGAGTTTATTTAATTTAAAATGTGTAGGAAAATGTATGTAATCAAACGATCACCTTCACTCAGATTTTGCAAGTAGTTTTTCTCACAGCATTTTCAAGCATTAAAAAGCATAATTATGAAAAAAGAATATCACATTATTATGTTATTAATACAAACATTGCTTGCATACATTTTGATTACGACCACTGTTACAACATGTAACATGTGATTGATATATCCGTTAGACAACATCTAACAAAAAATTCAGATTATGTATTGTATTCAGTGATACATAGTTATATTTCCTGCGATTGATATAAAATATTGTTAAACCCTTGTGTTATAAGTATTTTTCTGAAATTTCAGACGGAAACAAAACTACATACTCAACAAACGTTTGCTTTGTTATATCATTGCATAGATAGATATACATCTAAATAAAATATTTCTGAAAATATATTTTTGAGTTAATGCCAAACAAAACAAAAAGTAGATTTTTCTGTTAAAGTTAGCTACGGTAATTGGCTAAATGACAGAGCATGCGTATTCAGGTCAGATACCTTATGTCACGTGTTTTATCAACAGATAACGTGTGACTTAACTGAGTCAGCGAAATTTTTTACCGGGAACCCTGAATAAAGTTTTTTATCTTTTAATACACCAAGTCGGAATACAATCTCATGTATGACTTATACTACAAAAAGAGTTTGCTTTAATCATTTACAAATTCACAAGGGTTACATGACAATTCCACCACTCTTTCTCTATGATAATATTATAAATAGGTTTTCATTTACCATGAGTAATTGTTTTTATATGAATAACCTACCACTTTCCCTCTATAGTTGATAAATTTATCAATATACTACATGGTGTCTTTATATTTAAACTCATTTAAGTAGAAACATCCAGCATCATGAAATAGTTTAAACAATTTATATATATATATATACTACATATATGCAATATTTTATTTATAGAAATCTGTAAGAGATAAATTGATTTGCACCGAGCTATGGGTACAATTGCACTTATACATATCAATTATACTTGTATTTCTTTTCTAATTGCGATATGTTTTAATATATGTAATTTGTGTGAACGCAATTAATATTAATTTCAAGTATTTTAACTAAGAAATTTTGCTAATATTGTATCTATAATTATAGATCCTTTCACTAGACGACGTTTTCGTCATATTTTCTTAAAATTTGACACGTAGTTACACTATGCCAGCCCTGTTAAAATAAAAGTAAAGATAAAGTTGCCAACAATTTTAGTTTAAATTTAATCATAAATGTATAGATAAAGGTAAATTTTCAACAGTTACTGATATACGATTGTAGAAGTTATGTGCTATTTATCTCGTGGATGTCATTCATGAAACAGTTATCTGGTTCTTATCTATAATGTCAACAGGCCAATCATTAATTGCTTCTGGGTTGTTTCTAGGACATGATAAATCTATGATTTAATCTTCAAGCGTTCATTTAGGCGTTTAGTATTCATTTTTTCCCCTTCATATCGCTTACAGAATGTCAATACCCTGGTTTGTCATGATGGATTACCTCTATGTTTACTTAATTCATGGCCAAATCTATAAATTGTCTTTAAATTTTGATTGGTTCATCGATCGTGGAGATTTGTTTATCTTTATATCTGCTGATAGTGATTCAATCACACGGCTCCTGATTGGACACCTTTAAAATCATTGATTTAAATGTTTGCAGTAAAAAACTAAAATAAAAAATGGAGAAGTATGTTTTATATTTATATTTATCAATACTGAATGCTCAAACTTCAGGGAAATATACCTAAATCATGGTTTGGAACATGTGATTATTACTTCTCTTTAAGTTTTTACATCACATGATAAAATTTATTCGTAATCTTTTGGTTAGTTTTTTTCTGACAAGAGTAAGCACCTGAGTAGAACCACAGACGACTTTCTGTAAGCTAACTGGTCAGTTACCTTGCAATAAATCAAGAATTACGTAAGTGATGACGTTAGTGGTTCCATGCCAGTGACAATAACAGAAATTCCAGTCGCAAAAGAATCTTTAATATGCAAACCGACAATGCATTTTACAACAAAAGTTACAGGGAAGAATGTTGAGACCTTTTAATACGTCTTGCTGCTTGATTTCAATTTATTTATTCATTTATTTATTTCTAAATGGCCACTCGACAAAAACCGAAAAAAAAACAACATATCCTTACTGTAGAGAAACAAACATTTTTGTAAGCCTTTCCATACAGATCCCCACCTTCAATCAGTGTGGCTTAGTCCAAATAGGAACTAAATGGGTGTTCTTCAGACACACGAAAACGCTATCAAGTGTACGCGTGCGTAAGAACACGTGATTGCAGGAAGTTTTGACATACGCAGTGTGCAATTGTAATGTGTCGGTGACCAGCAAACCAAAATTTGTATGAGGAGTAACGACATTATTTATGTATCTCGTGCGTGCATTATTTTGTCTCCTCAAACCCTTCCTTAAATATCACTTTTCAAAAAAGTAAAGTAACATTTTGGCAGAAAATGTAGAAAGACACGTATCTGCTAAGAAACTTGTGTTCGAGGTTAACCTCAATTTTTTTTATCTTGGCACAATCGCACGGGAAAACGTGTTTAACTGGAAATGGCGAGGTTCAAAATACGTCTTTAACTTCTATCATGAGAAATCCATTATAATGCCATGTTCATGATTCAATGTGTGGAACAAACATAATACTCCAGTTAAATGTTGATGCAGCACACCAAAGACGCCGCCAGTCACAGGTAATATACAAACTCAGTCTTGACAAATTCTCAAATGTTTGTTTGTTGCGACAAAGATTGAAAGGTCTGGTCGACCCAAAATAAACTGGATAACAAGTAAAATGAAATGATTGGTATACTTAAAATAAATTCAAGACAAAGACAGAGGTAAAATATCACGCGGCGTCTAATTATGGAATCTACGGAAGCCAAAAGGTGCCACTTTCGCGATTACGTTTTTATGCTAATGTTACTAGAGCTTGTTCAACTCATTTACCCTTTGTTGGCGTATTTGTTGTGTATTTATTGTGATTATACATTTGACTGTATATTTTTTTAGTTCTATAGTTATATAGATCTTGCAAATGAAGCTAAATAATTTTTTTCTCTATTCGGTTGTATGTTTATTTACCAGACATTGTTTGTACTGTAAGAGCGGACTAAGTGCACTTGTGTCACCGCGCATTTGTTTAAAGGCCATAGCTCACCGAACACGTGCATTTGATCAATTTAACTCCTTTGATCTCATTGTACCGGACACAATTATTTAAAAGGGGAGGTATAAAGCATCCTATGCCGATTCATCCCAAAGCAAACCTTTATTTTTCAAGCGTCCTCACTTAAAGTACAATATCCGGGCAAATATTAAAATCTAAACAGTTTCAAATACGTCTAAATCATCCGATCTTTACATATCCCCTCATACTATTACTATATCATAATTGTTTTCATTATCATTACATTCTTTTATAAGATTTGTCAGAACACTTATAGTGCAATTAAGTTTTATTTTGTTTGGTTTAACGGCGCACCAACACAGTTTAGATTATTTGGCGCCGAACAGGGACGATGATTTTGGACTAACCTCGAGCGAAACAACTTAATAGCACCAGGGGTCAAAACCACCTCACCTGTTGGAAGTAAGAGATGCATGGACTACATAATTTCGAACCCATTTAGTCGCCACTTAAGATCATGCAGGGATAAACGAGGCTGCAATTCTGATGCTTCAGCCCTTAAAGAAAACCCCTCAGCCACAAAGCAATGACATAAAAACGCAATGCAGTATAATCAGCAAAATTTTGAAAACCTTTCTTTTAATTGGCATTATTAATAATGTTTTTTTATTTATTAATATATTTGAGATCTGTTATGATGTATGTAACATTTAAAAATTTGATGGATTCCATTCATTCACTTATAAATATATATTACAAAAATATAGCAGCCAAATAATGGACAAAAGTGAAGTATACATGACATATTATGTCACCAGTTACGGTTTTAGCCTTTGAACAATGCATACTGTCAGACTTTAAAATACGAAATGTTTGATTTTCAGATCGAGTTACTGGTTAATTTTGATATTTCTTTTAAAGTTTTTGATCTAAATTAACTCTAACTACTTTAAGAGAAATCGCAAGTTAAATAATTTGCAATCCTTTCTGTGCCAATGTAGATATAGTTTGTTTCAACCTGGTTTAGGTTGTTGTTGTTATTGTTGTTGTTGTTGTTCTTATTATTATTATTATTATTATTATGATGATGATGATGATGATGATGATGATGATGATGATGATGATGATGATGATGTTGTTGTTGTTGTTGTACTTGTTACTGTAGGAATATATGTGTGGTTTGTATTAACACATTGTTTTAGGTATGGTTTAAAATATATGAACGAAACAAACGACGAAGATGCTTTAAAACTGATGTTTTAAATTTATCTTAGAATTTAAGGTAAATAGCTTTAAATTAATAAAAAAGAGAGAAAAAAGAGGCAGTTTAAATAAACCAATAATCGTTTCCTCATTGAATGTTGGGCTATCAAGTTTAACAGGATTGGATACTATACCCTGTATAAAAATTTTATACGAATTAGTAACCAGTCACGCTTATAAGAACCTGTAAGCGTATTTTCGCGCATGGTTTACCAAATTTTTAAAGTACTTATTTTTGAACTAACTGTGCAAAACATTTATAGCGCACGTACAACTATTCCCCATTTTTAGATAGAAATAAGCCTTTATATTAAGTGATTTTATATTGAACAAACCTAATTGAATCGTACTTTGTTTACATTTTTGTCTACCTGTGTACGGAAAACCAATCGACAACCGGATGTAATTTGATTGGCTTGTTCGCTCGACAGCGCACCAATAAAAGCTCGCTATCTGTTTTGTATAATAGTATTACTACTATATCAGCGTTGTACATTTCTTCACTCGCGATATAACGATAAAACGGTTTAAACGAATTCAATACAGAGCGATGCACGGTAGCATGGCTATAACATTATTAGAAGCTATCAAAAATGGAGATCAAGACACAGCTAAACGGATTTTATTGCAAAAGAGATACACTTATTTAGACAGACAGTCCTCGAAGAAAGACGGTACGGCTCTGTTTTGGTCGTGCTGCCGAGGTTATTTGGATATTGTGCATTTACTGTTGTTGCACGGGGCGGATGTTAACACGTGCACAGCATGGGGCGCGGCACCTCTGCATGCCAGTGCAGATCATAATCACGTTGAGATTCTTATGTAAGTATTGTTTTACAATTTATAGGAGATACAAGCAAAGTTTGATGTAGCAGTTTTGCATATGTTGATACATTTTATAAGTATGCGCAACATAAAAACTGCAAAATAATAAGGTCGCGAAGTTTTGTTTTTTTTTTTAGATTTCGGTAGTTACATACTTTACTCAAAGTGCCTATAAAGTCTTTAATAAATAGTAATTATATTTTTCTTTTGTAAAATTTACAAAATGTCGTGAACAATGTTTAAAGTAATGCTAGATCTAAAACAAAACCCTATACACATAACAACATTTTTAAACTCAGAAAAAATTCGAAAAGAACTCGATATAAATGTAACGTTCTATGCAATTCGTAGTTAAAGTGTCGTAGACAATAGATACAGAACCATGTTTTTCCGAGAGTATTAATTTACTATTGGTAACACTATTGTTTAAGTAATTGAAGTTCTTCTTTTACTCGTAACTTGAATATACTCACGCAGTTTGAGGAAAGCAGTATCGGAAAACATCGCAACCAGGAAAGTCTTTCCTATAGTTAACAACAATTCTTTCCTCCATATTCTTCTAAAACAAGTGTATGGAAAACTCTACACTTACATCTTAAATATGTTTACAATGCGATTTGTAAAATTTGCATGGAACGTAACAAAAAATTATAAAAAATGACAACTATTATTAAATACGAAACGTTTTGGAAACATAAAAATACATTCCCTAATTTTAGTAATAGGCTGTAATAAATCTAATGCTTGATAAACATTAAATTTAATTCACTGAACAAACATATTTCGGGATGCACGTGTCAAGTAATGTTCGATTAACGTAAACATTGATGTTTTTTTGTTTTTTGTTGGTTTTTTTTTTTTTTGCGTGAATAAAAAATTGGGAAATGATGACGACATTAATAAAGACAAGTATACTGACCATGCTGCCATGATTAATAACAAAAAGAAAAAACAAAAAAAAAACGTTACAGGATAAGATAATGTTGTATAATTTGATATGTTTTGGCTTCAAATAATTTTGCCATTTTTTATGGAACTTCGCAATCAATGAAAGCTTAAATTGTCTTGTAGATTATATAGCTTCTCGACTCGACATATCTCTTCAGTGGATATTTATGGTCATCATGGGTGGCCACATACACACCCCATTAGGTGGGACAGTTGTTATAAAAATAATAAAAAAATATTGAAAAAAAAAAGAATCAATGAAAATGTGGTTGGCATTAAACGATGCAGTACCCCTCTGTTTCGTATTACAATGTATGTTTACGCGTTCAGAAAACATGCTTAAGATTAAAGTCATTGGAACATTATAATATTTCCAAAAAATATTTCTGTAAAATAACATTCATTTTGTGATTTATGAGTTATGTATCACAAAAGAATTTAAAGTCATAAAACTTGAGCTTAAAACACTATATATATTTGGTAAATGAGTATGAATGAAACCGATAACATAAAACTATAAGTCTCCAGTTAAATTAACATGGAACGAATAATAAAGTGCAAATCTTCGGAATTTATTCTAACATATATCAATAAAGCAAGTTTATATCAATAATATTTGAATATGTCCCATATTTCAATTCCACACTTACATACATGTGAATATGTATGAACTCTGTCAACCCGTTTTATATTTATTATCTTCACGGTCAGCATCCCGGAAAAGACGGAATTTAGAACGGCATTAATATACGGTGTCATAATAGTCACACTCTCTATGCTATCTGACAGTTAATGTAACAACGTCGCGTTATTATGCCCGTTGGCCTCAATAATATATTTATCTTATGAATGCGGAAATAAACTACTGAAGGCAGAATAAATAACTTACCATGTACTTAAATGTTTTGTAATGGATTAAGTAGTTATTAATTTTTTTTGTTCTGCCCTCGTCTCCAAGGCATTTAATTGCAAATAAAATCCAATACCATACCGTTTCCTGGAGGCGATTCTACTTCCTTAATGCTTTCCACAAAGAAGTATTGGCAATAAACAAGAATCAAATATCATTCTGCTAAGAAATTACTTCCAGAGATTCTATTTCTTTTGTGCTGTAATATTTTATTTTTCATTTTATTATCGTCTGCTGAAATTTACTTCCGGTTTAAAATTTATCTTGAGGTTTATTTTCGTCTAAGCGTCTGCACGATCATTCATTATAAAAGACATACGAACTTTTATTTAATGCCTACACGTTTAATATAAGTTTCCATCGGTATGATATAATTCATATCATTGATCGTATCTATAACTGCAATGAAATTGAGATGTTAACTATTACACTGATGGAACCGGAAATGCTTAGCCTCTGTCACCAGTGCCGAGCCATCTGGTCCTATACTGTTCATTTTTGTTATCTCTTCAAATGATAAAGAAAAGGAAGCTGGATAAGTCCATTTAAGAAATCCATGCAGTTGAGTAAGGATTTCAAGATTCATATTTAGCACCCATTGACATATTTTCAACACCAACTCAAACGAATATACAATATATACTAGATAGCAGTCTTTTAATATTTTAAATTTTACTGAATTGACACTCTAAAGATTTTTTTTATCTTTTCATTTGTTATAATTACGTATATTCATGCTTATTGGTATACAATATATGTATATTATATATGTAAATATGTACAGGTGTAGATAAAGCTGTAGTCACACCGCTCGTTTAATGGTCAACGCATTATGTGTATCGTGTTAATGTAATGGTGTTTTTATTATGATTTTTGCTACAAACAATATGTCGATGATGAATTTACATGTCATGTTAAATACATGCTATAACCCCCTCCCCCACACATGTGCGCGCGCATAGATGGCCTGCATACAAGTTGAATTTAAATAAATTCGCACGACATGTCCGGCTGTCAAGACGATGACAACAACAACTCGCAGTAATCATATTCTGAGAATCTAAACCAAGTACTGGTTGTTACGTGGTTTGAGATCCTAATGAAATTAACGCCAAATGACTAAAGTCCACCGCATTCCTAGGCAGTCGTATTTGCGGGATGTTATGTATAACGTATATATCTTATACACCACAATACCACATACCGGCTACATCGATCAACAATAAATGTAATATCCGCCTATATGAGAAGTGAGTACAGTAGTTTACTGGCCTATTTACAATATTCTGAAGTGGAAAATATTCTGAGCTTTCATATTATATGTGACGCATAACTGCCTTGTTTACATTTTAATGACGCGCATACTTGCGCGTGCGTGCATGAAATTGCTTTTGTTTGAATATGATAAACGAGGTCAAATGCATATTTTCATAATTATGAAAGATAATGTTTTAGTTAATTAAGACCTTATTTGGTTAAGCTGATGCACGAAAAAATTTCAGCGAAACTTATAACGTCATAATAATCAATTACCGTTGATTGATAAGCCAGTCGCATTTGTATATCTTTTATTTTACTGAAAAAAAATGACATTTACTTTTAAGATGCAATGGTATTTATTGACGTGGGGCTTCTATACCATTCAAAAACTTGTCGACCTACGTATGAAAATCTTAACATTTATTCATTCAGAAAACACGATAGTTAAACAGTTTACAAAAATAAACAATATATGTGCATACATTGCGTCACTATTAAATGCATGACTTATTATTTAAGTTTACAAAATGCGTTTATTTGACTAGAAATCGACTTAAGTACGCAGATCGCGTACTCCCACCCATTATTTAATCTTACTGACTAATTCACCTTTTTATGACGAAATGAAATAAAATAGAACAGGGAGTTTACTTGATAAAGTACTTGACATATTTTAGTGAAAATTCAGTTTATGCACTGGTTCTAGTTTAAATTCCATTGTAGCTGGTTCGAGTTTGAATCACACCTGTCACTGACATTTTTACAAGGTCATATGAGCGAGCACCTTAGTAGAGCAACTGACCTTCCGTAAGCTAGATAGATAGCGTCATTACATGAAATAATACAACCTCGCCACCTGCTTTCCATATGTAGAAGTCATTTATATATTAAATGGTCAGAATCATTACTTGTTTCTAGCTAATATGTAGGTTTAAATGCTGACACGGTCTTGTTTAGCAAGTTTAAGGAAGATCTTTGACTTTTCTCTCTTGTGTCACTCATGCATTATATTAAATGGCACGAATGGTCATACATTGAATGATAAAATATTACCTCAACTGTGCCGTCGTGATTTTTGAACGTCAGTTTAATATGATTTTCATTTCAGAATAAAAACTAGGTTAAAACCTGTTTTCTACTCGAGTTCAGTCAATTTATCAAACTACTTAAACTTAAAATTTCAGTAAAGATAAAGTGTGTATATCTTATCGAATGTGTTTTAATTCAGTGAGCGGGTGGGTATTCGTTGCGTAAACCGAGAATAGCACGGGTATATGACTGTATACGCTATTAAAGTTAATCATAGTATGACCAATAATGTGTAGGCGATGCTATGTCATGTTCGTTGGTGGATTACAAAATAAACTAATTAAGATATCGATCTAGAAATTCAAAAGAATTGGCACTTCTATAGACAGCTTTTTGCACACCCATACTTTTTATAAAAATTGCATGTTCTACTGATTAAATCTACGGCGTGAGGTTTACTATACAGTACCTTTTGACCCTATCAAATTTATTTCATGTCGATGATGATTCATATATTTCTAAATTTAAAAATGGTGAGAACGCATTGTACTCATTTAATATGAATGTAAACGTACCCTCGAAATTGTCATCATTTCGTGTCCTTTCGTATTTTCATACCCGTTCATTTAGCAAAAAAATAGAATTATATAATGGCGTGTTTTTCACTTAGTAGTTGTAAATTAATTTTACACGAAGCACAGCATGATAAAAATGCCTTGACAATAGATCAAGGGAAAATAGCATTTTGTTAGGTTTCTCAGGTTTTGATTGTGACGCATTATTTGTCGTCTGCAACAATGTTTATGCTGTTGATTCTCGCAGCATTTCACAGGAGTTTTACATTGGCTGATTTCTGAAAACCCGGAAGTTATTTTCAGTTACCCGATATACGATAAACGTCTTCTCAAACTGTCGTCTGCTGCTTTTATTGCAAAATTCCAATACGCGTCTAAAAGAGGAAGTTGTTTCATTTTTTTTTCATACATATTCTAGAAATTCTGTCAATAATAAAATCTTTTTAAAACGCAGCTTTTGGACAAATGATAGATTAATGGGAATGGACGCTCTTAATATATTTGTTTTTTTGTTGTTGTTGTTTTAATTTATTGTGATTTTCACTGCGGAAAAAGTTACTTTATAATTATGTCATTCATTGTTAGCTCGAGATAATCAAGACTTGAAATATGCTTCAAATTCTTTAATTCTTGAGCTTATTTAAGGGTTATGAATTCCTTTGTTGGGACCCCAAAGCTTTTTTTTGTCAAAAAAAATCTTGAAAATGGGGGCTTTTTATCCCTTTTTTTGTTTTTGGAAAATATACCTGTACGGGGAAACTTCCCTTTTAAAGCGTTTTTAAATTTATTATAATGTTCAAAAAAGGCGTGATGTGATGGTAATTTAGAAGAAGACAGTTAATTGTTAGGTAATAATAGAATGTCTGTATATAGATGTATAATTAAAAAAGTATTAATTGGATGTATTAAATTTAATATGGTTTATTTGTTCAACGATTTTATAAAGTTAAGTGTCTCTCACAGGCGCTAAGCAACAAATATATTTGATTTAAGTCTTGATATATTTTTGTCATTTGTTGTACATAATCACAAGTTTCATCTACACTAATCTACACTTGCAGCACAATATAAAGTGATGAACAACTCTTATATAAAGTCGTGAACTATTTTTGTGACAAAAATATCTCTGCCATGAAGCTTCAAGTGCGTCCTTCCTGTTTTGAAAGTAACATAAAACATTCGTTATTATAACGTCGCGTTCTGTTTTATGTTGTTGTGTTTTTTTAGTAACACATATATATTATGAATGGTAACAAAACATGTCAAGGTTGAAGCACTGGTTTTTAAGATGTTTCTTGTTTTACTCCATAGAAATCTTATCCGAACCGTGTACATTGTATTAATGTTCTATATTCAAAGTGTAAATTTTACTAATTTCAGACTGTTACTAAAATATGGAGCAGACGTGAATCAACAGACGACAAATGGTGACACACCTTGCCACCTAGCGTCATATCGAGGCTATGCTGAATGCGTGCAAAGACTTGCAGAAAGGGGTGCCAATGTGGAAATACGGAATAATAAACGACACACGCCGATACAGGAGTCGTATATGCAAGGGCATTATGAGATATACAGATATCTTCTGAGTGTACAAAAACTAGGTAATTATTTCAAACATACATGTATTCAGACAATGAACATTGCCCTCGTCAAAACTGCACACTTTCTATGCAAAATCGACATTTTATACCTCAAAATTGTCTTAAAATATATTTAAAATCTACGTTTTATTTACATGAAAGCTGTAAAATTCTAAACTTTAACCACACCAGATATGACCGAATTATCATAGGGAATAAATTAAAACTTAATTAAGCGTAATGTCATGCATTTTAAGTATCACGAATACAGGACGACCTATCATGTCAAATATTGCCTGTTAAACGACCCTGAACTCATTTTCAAATATCAATCAAGGATTCTATTTGGTAAACACGTTTAATTTGATTTAACAATGCTTCTCATTCAGAAACTAATTTGATGGATGTCCGCAATTTTTACGAGATACGTATTGAGAACAAAAAAACATGTAATTTTCCAACAGCGTTAGCTGTATGAAAGCTGGAAGTAATTAAAATGTCACATGTAGACAAACGTGAAGATTGAATATGTAAAATTAGTCAATATCAACGTGTTTATGTCAGGATACCGCAATGAATTTTATAAAAAAATGCATATAATTTGTACCTGAAATATTCTTGGCGTTACCTTGACCTAATTAATTAAAGCTAATCTATTAGCTTTCATATTCCTCGCATTTACTTTCATTTTACCAATATACGAGCATATATATATTTCGAAACACCATATCTGCTATTTAAGTCATAGAGTAGAAGCTATATAAATGTAGTTCTAAGTTAAATTTCATTTTGATGCGAAAGAAAATAAATAGATTCAGTAGGTCTTGTTTTTATTTTACTTAAGAAATATTTTGAAGCAGACGATATGTATGGCATGTCATAAAGTCATTATCTCCAGCTATAAATGTTCAGGCTGAGATATTACAGCTTTATCTTATCACACTAAATAATACTGGGCTATTTCCGCCTTTGAAACTGTACACTAATTCGTTTGACCTAATTAAGAAATAAGCTACATATATAATTTCGAATAACGAGAGCTTAGCATATATGAAGACATTTTTTTAAGGAAAGCCTTCATCGCTGATTTCTACTACTGTTATATCTTAATTTGGAATGGTGCAGTTTTTTTTTTTTTAAATAAATGCAAGGAGAGAACAGCCGACAAAAATAGTATTTATTTAATCACCTTTCACCATCCAAACGCTTTATAAACATGTGTTTACTTATACTTGCAAAACAAAACCTTCTCAGTCGTGATGCAATATTGTAGAGGTGCAACAGTGCATCAAAACAGATGTCGGCAACTCTTAATTTGCCGGCAATCTTTTCGGAGCCAATTTAATCTTATATCCTGTTCTTTGATGTAATAAAACTAGATTCTGTAATGACTTAATTTGTTTTAAGTCTGAACTTATTGAAGCCCTTCACGTCAAATATACCGTCTAACATATTTTCTAAAAACAACAGCACGTATTTCATATTATAAACAGTAACCGTCATCTTGATACATCAAATAAAGACGATTGACAACAATGAACCAAACCGCTTCTAACACTGTCAAATATAAAGTCATCAAATTTCCATATATGAAAAAAGTCATTCAATATCCTCTCCATCATTAAGGAAGTCGTAAAGTTAATAAGTTGTCAATCCGTCATTATAGATGATAAGAGCAAAGGTTCACGAAGGCGCAGAGGTTCTGCACGAATAGCGAGGGATGTTTTTATTTCTGGCTGCTACAAGTCTAGAATCTTGTTATGATTAATAACTTAATTTGCATTCATTCTTTTCAGTGAACAATAACCAACCAAGTCTTTCGGCAACAAAAATCAAACCATATCCAAATGAGTTGAAGAAATATACACCTTCGCCGGTACCTGGTGATTATTATGGATGGCATTCGGTACAGAGCACCACATCCGGGTCAGAGAATCGTCTTTCGTCTTCAATACCAAATGACTGTTTTAGTTCGTCGAACACGAATTCATCAAGCATTGAGCACATATCATCGCCAAGTGGTAACAGAACACGGAATAGTGTGATAGGTGTTCTAAGATTGCGAGAGTATAATACAGAAGACTCACAAAGTGATTCTTCATCTGTTAATGATGATTCCATGTTTCTAAATGACCTTTCATCCGTGCAACAATCTGACATATCACCGCCTAAAGTCCCAGAAAGAAAGTGTCTATCTTTTAAAAATATTTAGACTGCTTTCAAAGTGCAAGCCGCAATTCTGGTCGATGTAGTACTGTGTAGTGGCAACATTTATCATGCAGCATTGCAAAAGCACACAACATGTGTTTCAGCCGGCAACAGGATCCGGTAGTCTTGTTTGAAGCTACAATCATTGCTCCGCCGCCCATGGCTCGGTGTTTACTTTTCGCTGCTTTACACATCATTTCGTGCAAAGTATGATTTTCACAACCAAAATGTTGAAACGTTTTTCAAACAGTATGGGAAAAAACAAAGTAGCAAATGACACTTATTGTCACATTTAACATTTTAAGTGACCTTTACATATTCGAAGTTAAGGTGATTTTGTTTCAGGCCCTACGACCTATGTCTCACAAAAGAGATTAAATCAATGTGATACTGTTTTAGTGTTTTGACAACAATTTTGCGTTGTATTGGTTATTTGTGGATATACACAAATGAGACCAAGTTACATTTCATTATATGCGCATACCGGTATTCTAGTCTTTAAACTTTACAATGTTTTTGTGCTATTATTTTATTATACCTATTACTCATGTAAAACCAGTCATTTTATGCATATTTTACACTCCTCTAGTTACCTTACTCGTTTTTTTTAAATGTAAATTAATTGTAAATTCAATTCATTAAGATGGGTATATTTTTATTTCCAAACCATTTCCCCATTTGTAGTATATTGTTTTAAAATAGGTAATTTTTGTGAAATTTGTTTAATTTCAATATTTAGTTTCTGCGATATAATAGTATAACCTGGTTGTTGCATGTTATTATGAAACCGTTCAAAACAATCAATAAATCATTCAATCGATTGACAAATCTATCAATCTATCAATCAATCAATCAATCAATCAGGCAAACATCAAATATACATAAAGTATTTTCTTTCGAATTGACACTTACTGTTAACAGACTAATTTTACAATGAGAGAGATTTTAATTCAGCAAAATTAAATATTAATTGTAACATGTTAATGGTTGTTTGCTCTCCCCGTACTGTCAATTGATAGATGTTTGGTTTAATGGACTAAACCTTTGGCGTATTTATTATTGACAAGGAGAAGACTGGATCTGATTTGATAATCATATAAGGAAGTGGCATGTCGTCTGCCCATCGGCAAATACAAATTAACACTTTTGTAAAGAATGATATGTCATTAAGAAGATGATTGTATTGTTTTTCTCCATGGTGACCTTTTAAGATAGATCTACAAATCAAAAGAAGTCATTAAACTTTAATTGGAAAACCATTTTATTATTAACAACTGGTTCTTTTTTTTGTGTGTGGCTTTTCTGGTTTTAATCTTGGTCATTAACGGAGTAGGAAATGGGAAAATGGTAATATATTTTATGGCATGCATAATGTTTCCTTTGATGTTTAAATTAGTGTTGTTTGTACATGTACATACCTTCTTACATAATGACTTGATTTTTTGATAAATATCAATGCTTGTATATTTTACAGGTAGTTAACAAATCAGATTATCTGCCAAAGGTTATGATTTTATGTAAACTTATTTAATCGCTTTTTATTCTTATTTTATCTAAGCTTTTTTATCTCAAAAAGTTTCGTTAATTGTTGTTTTTTTTTTCAAAGAACTTGAAAGAATAATGAAGATTTAATTATAGAAAAATTGGAATAAAGTGGATAGGCGATTGTTATGAATATTTAAGATTAGGATTAAAAAAGGGACAGAAGAGTTATCTCTGCTGCTAGTGTGCTGGTATAGTGAGGGATGATGTGCAGGACAAAAACTTGCCACTGATTGTTTATTGAAAAAAGTCTTTTGTATAATATATATGTGAAAGGCCAGTATTTTATATCATATTGTGACGACATCAATGTTGTTATTGTAAATGTCAGGTTTAGTTTTCGTGTATAAAACTTTTTAAGAAGGTTATTCCTTTATAAAGACCATGACATTTTCTGTCGCAAAACTTCCAACAGTCATTAAGATACAGTGTTTTATTTAAAGCATGAAAAGACAGTACTTAAATGCTTAATTGGACCCCCAGTCTCTACACATCAGATTTGTCACAAGTGTTTATTTCGTAATATTAGGTGGGTAATAGTGAATGATTGATAGAATTATTATCTCTAACTAATACTCATTTACTCATTTTGTTTTTATTCTCCACAATTGGAAAGATGAGACATATAAGAGCCATCTTTGATGTCATCAAGTTTCACTTTAAATGATTGACACATAAGCTTTTTTTTATTTTGCTAAGATTATTCAGTCACCAGAGTTGTTAACTATAATGTTTATACTTTTTTCATCACAATAATATCGACCAAAAAAGTGTATTCAAGAAAAACCTAACCTGTGAAGAAACTAAATGAAACCCTTTAAAACATTTAAAACATTTTCGGTTTTTTGAACACTTATCAGTTATTTTTTGAAAGAAATAACTCCACTGTGTTATCTTTTTGTTTTTAAAGGTTTTAAGCCAGACGCGCATCGCTGTTTAGGCTTAAAATGAACAAATGACTTTAATGATAATGTGCTTTTTATATTTGACAATGTTGTGTTCTACTTGTACACTTGTTGTTATCTACTACCCTAAAGTTGTTCATCATTGTTAATCTGTGATCATTTTTAATTTTTTGAGTTATTAAAAATATATAAAATAGACAGTGTTGTTTTTTGTCTATATTTTTATATCTCGTTATATGTCAGATATACAATGTGAAACAACGTTCACTTCACGTTTGGGAAGCTGTACTCATAAGTTTTATATCTCGTTAAACGTCAGATATACAAATTGTACCTGGGTATGTGAAAATTTAATTAAACGTCCATTTCTACTACAAAACATATTCAATGGCGTTTTACAAAATATTAAAGTAATTAACATTAGTAAATAGAAATACACACCATTATATATTTACATTATAGATAAAAAGTATAAAAATGTTTTCGTGGAACAACAAAGATACACATATACATACAAAACATACACAACACACATCTCATGCACATACACACATACATACATTTACACACATACATACACACATACATACATATATATACACACATATCCCTCTCTACCTCTCTGTCTAAAGAAATAAATATTTACAGTACAGTAATTTCCTTACCACAGTCCAATATTCTAGAGTTTGTTTAAAGTCAAAGTTTATATTTAACTATAAGCTTGTACTTAAAATAAGGAAGAGAAGTCCTTAAAGAAATAAGTTTTCAATTGTCTCCGGAAAATTGCTTTGCAAATTTGCTTTGCCTAAGGTCTCTAGGAAGTTTTTCCACAATTTTGGACCTATTCTACTAAAACTATCTGCAATGGTATTTATTTATTTTAAATGGTACAACATTAGCTGAATGCGATGATCTTAAAGAGCGTTTTGTGGTTAGCGGAGCCAATAAATTAATTAAGTTGGTGCATTTTCTACAAACCAATTATACATATACACTAGGGTCTTGAAATTTATACGAGCTTTAATGGGAAGCCAGTGTAAATTCGAAAAAAGCTTGTTTGGAGCTATCAAAATATAATCTATTTAATTTGTGTAGCACACATGTTTTGGATAAGTTGAAGATATCTCAATTTGCGAAATACTGTACAATAATTATGACGTTACAATAGTCGATGTTAGATATAACAAGAGATAATACAAGTGTTTCGGTGGCATCAGAAGACAAATAGTGTCGGATGCTCTTGATCATAAAATAGTTTAGCATTGCAGTTTTAAATTTTCGTTTAATATGTTCTTTGAAATTTAAAGATTCATCTAAGAAGGCACCAAGATATTTTATACAATGTTGCGATTCGATGTTATCATCGCAAATATCAATTTGATTATCACAATTTTTTCACAATTATTCACACAAAAAGAACTGAAAGATGCTACATCTCTCACACAGGGTTAAATTTTTTCAAAGTCATTCAGTTTTTCTCGATTTTTTATTTCGATTTTGCCCATAAATGGTCGGCAAATTTGTCGGCTAGACTGTTCTCGTCGTCCACAGGATGCATATGATTTTCAGACTAGCAACCGGTGAGATCTTTCAGAAGCTGATTAAGATTTTTGAATCAACATTTGATTCAATTATCTTTTTACTAAGATCTTGGAATTTTTCCCTTTTTAGACCAGAGTGATACTTTAAAAACGCACGCTTGAATATCTCGTAGTCACGTGATTGCCTTTGTTTTCTTCAAAGTCTTTCTGATCGACGTATTGCTCGCTTCAGAGCGAACCAGCGTTTGGGTGTTCTAAAAATTTGTATTTTCTCTTTAATGGGTGCATTTTGTCGATCTCATTTTCAAACTGATTTACAAATCCATCCACCGAATCATCACATATTGCTATTTTATTCAGATCTTTTGCAATCACTTCCCTATTCTTGTTTTTAAAATCACGATATGGAACAGATTTGCTTACAATGTTCTCTTTATCTTTGTTACAACGTTTACTATACAATAGTCCGATAAAAACGAACCCTGATCGCATGAATGTAAGTCTATGCAATTGCAAGTTCGGTAATTACAAGGTCAAGACTTTTTTCTTCAATTTACGTAGGGAAATCTACACGCTGTTGTAATCCAAGAGCGGCCAGAGGGATTGTTGAAAATTAAAACAGCACTGCTATTGTAATTTTATGTGTAAATTGGAGCCTCGATTAAAATGTTAGAATGTTTTGGTATCATGATTTCCATAAATTGAAAGAATTCATTTACAAATTGATTCGGTGTTGCTAATTTAGGAGGTCAATATACACCAACACAACTAATTGTTGTGCTTTTGAAAACTCATTGCCAAACACCAAACTCAAAGCTAGTTTTTCCGTCTGATAGTTCGTAGTCCACGCATATTTATGTACATGTACTTCGACACATAAGGGCTACACCACCACCCTATCTGTTTTGTATATTGGTATTCGCTACGCTAATTTTGTAGCCATTTTGATTCAGAAATTGAGATCTTTTTCATCCGATTACCACGTCTCTGTAAGGATAGCAAAATTAGCTTTCATTTCACAAAACTCTTGCCAAACAATACATCTCTTTAACCACCGAATGACAATTTAAGTTCATGCAGGTGCCATTCTCAGTTAATCTTTTTTCATGATATTTAAGGTATTAATGCCTTATATTTAACATGTCCTCGGGCCACCAGACCTCTTTATCCTTTAGTCTAATTATCCCAAAGCTTTTAATCTGGTCAATGCACCATGTCCCTGTATGACCACTGTATTAAGTGCGAAAAAGTTTACATAATGTTAACCATTAAAACACAATCCTTTGTTATATTCCAATTGTTCGAATTGCAGAAATGCAAAAATAATTTCGGTAATCATGTTCAGTAGCATGATAATTAGATATATATATAGTCATGTATTCAAAACAATCAATCGGAAAAAAACAGTCTAAAGCACATGAGACGTAGTTTTTTCCGAAAGCCTAAAATAAGCAGTCTAATAGAAAAGATTGAGTACGGATGTGGCAGAAAATGAAAGCTCGTTTACTTTTGAAGTCCATTATTTGTCATTGCACAATATTATAATACATTGTGTCTACAAATTTCAGTGAACTTCTTCAAAAATATATCCCGGTATCTATCTAATTGTCAAACATTAAATTTTTGGGCGCTACTTTCCCTTTCTACTCAATGGTTTCATTTTCCATTTTCGTAGCGGAGGTTTATTTTTTCAAGAATAGTAATGGCCGTTTGCTACTTAACATTAGGGAAATGATGCCTTTCAAAGTGTGGCCACGCATTTTCAAGTTATTGTCGTTTGTCGTTTCCAGAAAAAGATATAACCAGAGAAAAATAGTGACATGGTATGTTATGTATAATAAAAATAAACCGGCATCGATCTGTTGATGGAACATCTTAAATGCCATCATAATTCATAGGTGTGTTGTTAATTGATGGCCTTTTCTTAGAGGGTAGGGGACATATTCGAACTATGATCCCAGTCAAATTTATTACTAACATAGGCATGTTGTTTTGAAGGTACTGAAAACTTTTAATATTTCTCTGTCATTGTATTTCTGTCTTGTTTTTGTATAGGAAATGATCATTATTTTTAGGTATTTACCCGATACTCAGCATTTTTGGTATCTTTTCATGTATTTGTGATTCTCCGAATGGAGGGTAAAAGTTTTAGCATTGACAGTTGGCGCCAAACAAGAAACTTTGAATAAATTATGTGAATCTGAACGCATGACTGACAGTTAATTGGGCAATTTTGACTGTGCGTGAGTGATATCTTTAAAGGGATCGGGCGAATTCTGGAATATCCTGCACGCTCATGAAGATGGCCCATATTAGTACTCGTGTATTTCAGGTCATAAATTACTGTCAGTTTTTACTTTTAGAAGCAATGCATGCAAACTTTAATTTTCTTTAATGAATGCCATATATCCTTGAATAATGCTATGCAACTGGTTAATTGTCTGTATAAAAGATTTTGAAATGTTTTGAAATTGTGTTTCTGGTCATACTGAACTTCAAAATTGCTCGTTTTAAGGTCCCCTGTCCCTTTATATTAAGATAGGCAGATTCTAACCTTTTATAATATCAACTGTTTGTAGTAAATAAATTTGAAAATTTGAGCATAAATTTTCATACCTTTACTTCAAATACAAATGAATCTTAAAATCGATATTTTAATATTGTCACACTCTTAAAAATGAATGATCATATTACATTATAGAATGTTTATGTAAAGTACAAAGTCTTGGATATCTGGTTTAAGGTATTTATGAATTAGGGATTACCCAGTTTCCTATAATTTTGAAATAAATGCCAAAGTTATAAATCAAATGAATTCATCAGTAAAATGGGTGTTGTACCCGTTATTGATAATAAAAACACCCCGATTCCTTCAAATAGACAATCATTCTTTCAGGACAATGATTCATGCCTTAAACACTTATCTTATGTTTTTAACGATTGGTTAGTATGATTGCGTAGGACGATTTTGTTTACCGTAAAAAGAAACCATGTCATTCATTTTAACTGATATCACACCACCCTTTATTAACGACGATATCTCGCTATAACTGACCTCATTGAAAGACATTAGCTGATTCATACATTATTTGGAATGCATTTTAATGATTTTAAAAGTGTTTATATTTAATTTACGCCACATGACTGATAAATAATATGCGCGTGACCGAATACGTCATTTAATTTGAATAAGTTTAAACTCTATTAATTGTCACCGGTTTTTATGAGTCAAAATTTTGGCACCAATGACTGTCACCAAAATTTTTAACAGACAATTACATTAGCAAACAATTAATATCAATGTGAAACTACATAATAATAAATATTATTGTTATATTCTGTGAATGAAAATGAAACAATAATCCATTTGTTTAAGCCTCTGTTACGAAACAAATACAATAATTGACAGTTTAGCTATTAGGAAGGTAAAACTTTAACTTAAGTCGGAAGCTTATCCGATTTCAGTGAAATTTAAAATGAATTAATGACCCATTACTTTACGAAGGCTTGTTTAAAACCGAAGTACAGTACGAATTAATTTCCTTCCTGAATAGTTGACCGAAATAAAATCCTGTGTAATGTCGTTTTAGAGCTTCCTGGTTCAAGTACTAAAGTACTACTGACGTGATGTAAAGTTCGAATTAGTTATATTTAGAT